TGAAGCGCATAAATAGAGGGCTTTGCATTTAATAATTCATTATTCTGTCCAAGAAATGCACTAATACCTTTATCAGAGTTATGTATGTTGTTCAAAACACAAAAGCCCAATCACTGAAGAACAGTCGGACATTAATGGCTGCTTTTCTCTCTATGTCCTGAATGGCAGCCAACAATCACCTAGAGGAATACAGTTTTCTCCTTAAAAAAAATGTTTCACTTTTGTGTGTGTGCCAGTATATACAATTTCACTTAAAAAAAAAAAATATATATTTATTTATTTATTTATTTTAGTGGTCCAAGGGAAGAAAGGAAAAGCTTAAATGCCTTAGGTGTGGCAAAGCATTTTGCTTGGTCCCCTGATACTGCTAAATACTGACTGTGTTTCCTCCCTCCCTCCCAGGAATGGGAGAATAAGAGCAAGAAGTGAGAGTTTTTGGGGTTGGTGAGCCAGGAGTGGGCTACGAATTTATTCTCATCTGTTCCAGGTCTTGAGTCCTCTGGTTCTGATGGAAATCTGGTGGCAAGGCAGGAAAATAAGGATGCTCAGTGAGATAAACCAACTCCAGCCTGACAGACTGCCTTTGAATGTTCCTTTAGCATGTAAAGATGATGGGGATGCTTCCACATGATAATAGGGGATGTCCTGGCCACCAGGGCCAGGCACAGACCCCTGTGTGGTGGGACCCTGCTAGCCAGAGCCCCCGGTGCCCTGCATGGTCTCCATCAGGAGTCTAGCTGGCAGCACTCACCCTAAAACACACAGAGCAGATGTAGGAAAAAAAAAAAACACAACACTTAGGAGTGCTCACGCATTCATGCATTTACCGGCATTGCTGTCTCCAAAATATATTCTGGAAAGTATGGTGCAGGCCCACAATTCATTTAACGCAGCCCTGGGCTAAGAAGAAAACAGGAACTGCCCTCCTGAAATCCTCTAATGGGCCTTCTCCTCCAGTCTCCTGTTGCTGATAAAGCCCAAATTCATAAGCCACAGAGGAAGTCATAAAACTGGTGGCGTGATCCCAGTACCTGAGCCAAAGGCAGTTGAAAGTCAATGGAGAGGCTCTCATTGACCTGAACGTGCTGTGGAGTTGGTGTTTGTGGCATTAAGCCTCGATGGGGAAAGATGAGGGGAGGGAAATGCATGGGAGTAGGACTGCAAGTCCTCACTAAAACTGCCTGTTCCTTAATTTTTTATCTCCAGCATCAATGGAGGTGCTGCCAGACCATTGCGTGCCTCGGTCCCTGCACGCCAGGCACAATCTCCCTAGAGGAAAGCTGGAAGCTTTGGTTTATTCATCAGTATTTTTTTCCCCATGCCAAAGTCTATTTAATATCAAGTTTATTGTGCTGTGTTTGTTTGGGATTTTTTTTTTTTTTTCATTCTGGTCCCACAAACGCCTCCTGGGCAGGTCAGTGCATCTCCCAGGCTACCTCTTTGTTGTGCGTTTGGAGCCTGCAGGATCCGAGGAGACCTCCATCGTGCAGCCTGAGCACCGCTTCCATGACGAGGCTCAAATGGCGGGAGTGTTAGAGAATATTATTGATAAACAATAGATGTCTGGTGGAGACACTGATTATTTTCCTGGTACAAAGGCTGCTGCATCCTATGTGATAATTCCTCTTTCTTTTCCTCCTTGTTGGCTTTGTGTTTTTGTGATTTATTTGCGGTCTGGCAAGCATCCACAGCCCTGCAGGAAATGGATGTCTGCTATTGTGTTTGGGGGGGCTATATAAACGTGTAATTTTCCCACTACATTAATTACAGACGTTTCTCCCTCGCTGGAGCAGCTCCATGTTTTCTTTGCCCTTTTGGTTTGGAGACACAGTGTTCTCCCCACACCCCCAGTCCAAGCTGTGGGTATTTATTGGGAACCCCGACTCCTGACATCCTCCACTGAGCCGAGGGAGAGGTAAGGAGCAGGTCATTCCCATTTGCCAGCTTGGCTTGGCCACAAACACTGCAGAGGGGAAACTCGTTGGCTTTTCTACCTGATGATAATAGCTCCAGAATAGTAGCATAGCCAGGTTTTCTCTGGCTATTCCTCCTGCCGACACTTTCCGCAAGAATAAAAAATGGTTTGCCCTAAGAAAACAACCTCCTTGTTATGGAAAAGCAATTGTGGAGCCGTTTATTTTGGAAAAGCTGTGCTACTTAATTCCTGCCTCCCGAAGACAGACCCTGCTTGGATCAAAGAATTAAACCCAAGGCAAAACTCAGGGTGGTTTTACCAGGCTGTGTTCAAGAAAAGGCCAGAGGGAGAGGTCCCAGGGAGGTACCCGGTGCCAGCTCTGTGTTGGTTTGGCTCCACTCTGGCGACCAGGCTTGGCCTTAGGGCCTTTGACCTAAGTGGACTGGAAAACTTTTTTTTTTTTTCTTTTTTTTTTGTTTCTGTTCCACCAAAATGTGTCTTAAGCAAGTAATTCCTTGCTTAAGGAATGACCGGTGACCTGTGCTTGCTGGGTGCTCTGGAGAGGATTTACCATAGCTCACCAAATTCTCTTGCATTACTTACACGCCAGAGCTGTGCTCTGAGATGCTTGGGAAGGACCCAGCATAGTGAGTTTTGGCTTGTGTAGGTTCTCTGGCTTGCTTCTGACCCAGAAAGTGTTAATGTCACCTGAAGAAAAAACATCTTAGAAATACAAGTGCATGCGAAGCAAGGGACAAGGAGAAGCGAGCGTCTGCTCTTATTTTAGAGGACGTTCCTGCCAACGAGAAGGCTTGTTAAATCATGTTCTATTTTTCTTTAACTCCTGGAAAGAAGAAGCTCGGCCAGATTTGTATCAGGAGATGCTGTCTCTGCAGGCGGACCCTCCTTTCAGAGAGCAGCTATGCAGAGCATGCAGATGATCTCTGTCATTGACGGGGTCAGATCATTTCCAGCAGGCTGGATGCACCAGCGTGTCCTTTGGCTTGTAACGTGGGCTTCCCGTAGGCTCCTAATGAAACACAAGTCTTGCTGAGATATTTCTCATTTCTGCCTGCCAGAAGTGGGCTTGTTCGTCACGGGGTATGCTGGCAAGCACAGAGCAGGTCAGATTTATTACAAGCGCACAGACTGTGCTGCCTGGGACCATCCCTTGGCCAAAGCAAGGGAGGTGGCTCTGGTTTGCAATCGCTCTCTTTTTTTTCAACACCCAAGCTGCCCAGGCCCCCAGGAAGATGGTGAACATTTGGCCCCTGCTCCCACTGCTGCTGCTGCTTGGAGACTTGCTGGGGGCCAGGCAGAGCCCAGCTGCTTTCCAGTAGCCAGCAGCAGGACAAGGGAGTCGTGGTGGCTCTGGCAGTGCTGGTGAGGTGGGACACTGGAGGGCCTTGAGGAACTAAGCTTTGTCTGTGATACTTCTGCTGTTGCTGTGCCTTGTGCACCCAGTGCTGAGAACTGGCTGTGTCCAGGGGCTGGTCTGAGCTGCCAGACTTGGGTGAGTGGAGTGGGGATGAAGAGCTGGGCGTTTAGGGGGTCCCATTTCCACCCATCAGGCCTCTCAGCACCACCAGTGGTTCCCCTTTCCCATCTCCTCCTGGCAAGGAGAGCAGGTGGGCCCGCTGCCCGCTTGCCCACCCTTTCTGAGGCGGTGCAGCTCCATCTCCTTTCTGTTTCCACCAGCCGAGCGGCAGGAGCGCAGGAGGCAAATTGCAGCTCTTGTGGCAAGCACTTCAAGACATGCTCTGCACATCCAAACACAATGCAATTTTGCATCTGAGTATCAAAAGCTAAACAGCAGGTGAGACTGGGTTAACAGCCTGGGCATGGCAGTTTCTAAAGCAACGCCTGGGGAGCTCTAAACACAAACACCATTAGCAATAACAGGATCTGTGCACTTAACTCCCTGCCTTGCTTTAAAAGCACCAGCCCCCAGCAGCAAGCATCCTCCACTTGATCCACTTGGGCCAGCTCAGCGCTCTGCATCCGTACCCAGCCCGAGGAGCCGGGCCTCCTGCCGTCACATCGGAGTTTGGTTTAAATCTCACCCACGCCCTTTCCAATTTTGCAAATTCTGGGAAATATTCACCATTCCGGTGCTTCCTTTCACACATCACACACACACTGCAGACTTACCTGTGCACTGCAAGTGCCGGGGAATTTACTGCCCCTGTCAGTAGCAAGGAGGTGCTGCTGTGTCGCTGATGCAGCCACCAGCATGCGGTCTTCAGTGCCTACCAGCCTGCGAGCTGAAGAAACGCCATCCCTCTCCATACTGGGCATTGCAGGGAGGAAGGATGCAGGGCAGCGGTAAATGAAGGCCAGATCTGAGATAAAACAGAGAAGGGAGATGGTGCTCAGCTCCTAGGGGCTGGGGGAGGCTGCAGGAAGACGCTGAGCAGAAATGCTAGTGGGGCAGCGCAGGTGGTGGGGGGAGGCAAAGCAGCATCCATTATTTATGCACCCTCTGCAGTGAGCTCGCAGGGAGTGGGGATTGGCCAGGAAGTGGGTCAGGACGAAGCACGATGAGGCAAACAAAACCCAAAGTCCTCATGTGTGGCCACTGCTGATCAAGAAAACCCAAGAGCCGAAGGGGAGGCAGTGCTGATGTGTCCGGCGTGGCTGAGGGATGCAATGAGACAAGAGAGCCCTGCTGCTCGCCAGCCTTCCCCCCTTCGGTCTCCCCGCATGCCCGGCAGGGAGGGGGATTCATGCATTTGGCACAGCCTGGTGCTCCTGTGTGCAGAGAGGAGGTTTTAGTTTTGCATGATGAATTTGTGTGAAAGCCTGCAGAGAGGGCCTGTGGGCCTGGCATGGCATTGGCAGGCTGTCCAAAATGGCAAGTGATGCTCCTGATGTGTGTTTTATCACCCTGGCTTTTCCCAGGGAAAACAATGTCCTTGTCTTCTGCCCCAAAGGCAAAAGGTCAAGGCGCAGGTCTGAGGGTGGCTCTGCAGGGGCTTAGCAAGGGTTATCCATCCCTGGGCTTCAGCTTCAGGCCTCACCTGTGAACACGAGGAGGTCTGGTTGCTTAAACCATGTTCTCATGTCTGACTAATTGTGCTTGCAGAAACAACAGCCACATCTGCACTCGTAGGAGCATCAGACTGGTGGGCACCGCGAGCTGCCTGGAGTGCCTGCACCTAGTGGCTCGAGGTCTGGGCTGTTGAAGAAGCCAAGTTTTAAGCCAAATGACAACATCTTCCATGATGTTCCTACCTGTGGTAAGACTTCACCGTTATGGGTTGGCTTCAGCACATATGTGTCCTATGATCCCTGCTCAGCCAGTTTGTCCATGGAGATCACAAGGTACACTAAATCCCTTTTTCTATACGGAAGCCTAAATTTGGCTGTTTCAAGATCCTTGAAAGGTGTTGGGAAAACTCCTAATATTCCAGTCAGGGGAGAATTTTTGAAACACATGACTGGCAGAAAACTGAGGCCGAACGCACACCAAGTCTCGGAGAAGTGCTGGCGCTGCTGCCATCCACTGCAGGTAATCCCATAGACGCACACTGAAGGGTTCCTTGTTTTCCTCCAAGGCTGCTGGTGTCAGTCATGAGTTAGGGAAAACCTTGTGCTGAACTGAGTCAAGTTCCCATCAGGTCTGGCAATGTGTGTTTTTTTTGTTGTTACTGTATTTTTTTTTTCTTAAGGGGGGAATAAATGAGCACTCACACACACTGCTAACAACAACGTGAAGCATTTTCCTCTTCAAGAGCCCTTCCTCCCTACCCAACGCCTTCCTTTTAAAGGAGGGTGCAGAAGTCAAGCAGAGTCGTGCATCATCCAGCAGGCACGCGGCACTCCACCGCCGTGCTCTGGGATTCCTCGAAGCCCGCGCTGCACGGGGAGAGCAGAGCTGGGGCATGGAAACAGCACTGGGGGGCTGCAGCCTGGCAGCGTGCTCCTTCCCCTCGGAGCAAGAAATGTCAAGGAGAATTAGCGAGATGGCTGCGGGCTTAGCCTGCAATTGGAAGCAACTGCTGTTCGTAAGCAGGCTGTGACTGCTCAGCCTTGCTAATCAGATTTCGGAAGGCGCTGGGCTGGCTCATGCTAGAGGGTGCCCGTTGCGTGTTTTGCTCACTGCGCTGTGCTGATGGGGTCGGTGTTTCGGAGAAGAAAGAGGAAGGTTTCCGTGGGGCGAGCCTGGTTCAATAACCAGAGGTTGTGTTGGAGCAGAGGTCAGAAAGCCACTTGGAGGCCTGCCCACCTCGGGCATGGCTCTGAGAGCCGTGCTGTGGGTGATGCGGAGCCAGCAAGGCAGGACCAGAAACTCCAAGGTGTCACAACGCAGCCTCACCAGAACAGACCTGCTGGTGGGGGGGAGCCCCAAAACCCGACCCCCAAAACTTGTTCCCAAAAAAATGCGCACACACAAAAAAATGCCCCTCCCAAAAAACCAGGGCAGCTGGCCTCTGCAGGCCTCCAGAGCACGGGCAGCAGGGTGCCAGGAGGCAGAGCACCCTGGCGCAGGGCAGCATGCAGCTGCACCCCTCCTGGCCGTGCTTTAGCCCCTGCGCAGGAGGGGATGGAGGGATGCTTGAGACGAGGGAAGCGGGGATCCTCTGCACTGGATCGAGGCTTTAATTAATGAAGGATGGGGTGATTTGGCAGCGTTTGCTCGGTGCCAGCTCCCGGGAGGAATACAAGTCTCCTTGTGTTTCCCAGTTGAAGCAGCTTCCGCCGGCGCTGCCTGTGCTCTCGGCTGTGCTGTATATGGCACGGCTATTTTTAGAAAAGCAGGGTTGCCATGGCAACCCAGTGTGTTTTTTTGTTAAATATAGCAGCTGTTGCAGGGAACTCTTGTCCTTCTGGATGCAAAGGCTGTGTTTTCGCCCTCTGACAGCGCTCAGGGTATTAAACGCAGATGAGAAAGGATGATTAAGTGTGCGGAAGCCCAGCAGAAACCACGGCTCTGTAATTACACGGAGGGGCTTTGAACAGCGCCGTGCGCGCCTGCTGCTCGGGGAGCAGCTCCCTGCATCGCCAGCGTGTGGGGACAGGGGCACGGGGCTCTGCAGGGGGCTGCGGGCTGTGAGACCACCCACCCCTCTCTCTTGCTAGCCAGGATGCTCACCCACTGGCCACCAAGGCTGCCCAGGAGGGCACGGGTCCCCTTCCCTGGGCTGCAGCGTGAGAGCCGAGCGCCCCAGTGCCATGCGGTGGCCACGCTTCGGAGGCCGAGGGGAGACCAAGGGGTTCCCTTTGTTTCTGTTTGTTTGTTTGTCAGCTCCGGAGGGGAGCAGCACTGGAGGATTTCATTCCCGCAGGCCTGCTTCACTTTGGCTTTGTCACTTCTTTACCGGACCCCTGGGTGGTGCAAACAGATCCCCTCAAAGTGCCTTTTCTCTTCTGCTGGGAGGAGGCCGAGGACGAGGGAGCTCTCTTCCCACCGGCTTTGTTGCACGGCTGGCACTTCTCCTCCCCATTTTGGGGGCTTCCTGGCTCTGCAAGCCCCAAGGGGCACTCGTGGGTTTAGGATTTAGGATTTAGGGCCACTCGTGGGCAGCCTCTGCCTTGCGTTGCCTCTCCCTCCCGCGTGGCACCCACACAGCCGCGTGCACGGGGCCACTTGGGCTGAGGGCGGTGTGCCGGCTGGGAGATGGAGGCCTTTTTTTAATTAACTGCTCTTTGCCTCGTTAAATGAAAAAGGAAACCTAGCGAGCTGGAGATACACAGCAGGGCTTAGGGTCTTTGTGTTTTTCTTTGAAAAGGGGATAGAAGCACAAACAAATACAGAAACAGAGTTGAAACAGCTTGGTTTAAAATATCCACGGAGGTCACTGTGACCAGGACTTCAACAGGAATAACATATCTCCTGGATCCTTATCTGTTCCCTGGGCTATCATGAGTGGGATCTATTGCTGGGGATGTTATTGCTTTTTTGAATTTAATTGCATGAATGTTGCTTATGCAAGCAGAACACGGCCGGGGAGGGGCTCTCCTTCCACCAACTGTGGGCACTGGGGCTTGGCTTGGCCCCGCTGCCCATGTCCCCAGCTGCTTAGCCCTGTATCTGGCTCTGGTGAGCCTGGTCCTGAATGGATAAAGAAAGGCTGAGCTTCCCCAGGAACGTATATTTATTAAAACTTCTGCCTCTGCTTATATGTCCACTTCCCTGCGTATTCAGCGATCATCTCAGTGTTTATGCTCCCCGCTTTCCCCCCATTGATTTATGGGCTTATTGTAATCTCTCCATTGTGTCGCTTCCCCCTCCAGGCAGTGGGGAGCAGGCAGCAGTCCTGGGAGGTTTTTCCTTCACCCTGCCTGTTTGCTGGTCCAGCCCTCCAGCATTCGCAGCAATTTGTGTGAGGAAGTGCCACGCTTCAGCTGTGGTACCAAAATTTGATGAAACCATGTTTTTCCCAGCAAGGATGCTCTTGAGGGCAGTGCGGTCTCCCTAGCAGTGATGGGGAGTACTGCGAGGGATGAAATGCTTTTCACTTCTTTAGGAGATGGCTACAGATCTCAGCTGTCCCTCTCAAATATACTGCTGCTCCTCTCGTGGGACCAGGGGCTCATATAAAGCCTTTTACCAAAGCCTTTACACGCTCAGCTCCTCATCAGGACAGCCAGGAGCTGCTTAATGCATCTCGTGTTGGCTTCCCGTCCTCTGTCCATGGGGCAGGTGGCCCACGAGCGTAGAGGTGAGGGTATCTCAGCACCTCTAGAAACGTGGCCTCTTGCCATCAGGCCAGCACCTGATGGGGAGAGGCAGGCTGGGCATGCAGGGAGGCTGAATAAACCCATGTGGTATTCCTGCCTGGCATCGCCAGGGGATGCAGGGACCTCGCTGGGGTGGATGTCCCTCATGAGCCAGCTCTGTGGGTCTGGTCACTGTGCCACTGCCTGGGAAGGCTCTCTGATTTTCAAGAGAGAGATCTTCTCCTGAACAAGAGACACCGAAAGGACAGGGTGGTACTGGAAGTGTCTGGCTTTTTTTTTTTTTTTTCCCCACATTTATTTTTTTTCTGGGAAACAGACAAATATCAGAGGGATTTGGGCTTGTTTGTTTGTTTGTTTTCCCCGGGAGCAGACTTTTCGGCTCGATCCCTTCCAAGCACAGTAGCTGTACCAGTACTCAGTGCCTTTGCCAGGCCTGCCTCAGCAGCCGTATCAGTCGCGGCATGTTTTTGTGCCATTTGGGGAAATCCTCTGAGACAGGCAGCTCAACAATAACGTTGATTTAGGGAGAAAGTCCATAACTTCTGCACAAAGAAGAGGCTGAGCACCTGTGGTGGCTCACACTGCCTGGAGAGGTGACTGGGGACAGAAGAAGGAAGGAGCTGGCTGCTGGGACACGTGGAAGCAGCACAAGCCCCAGGGTGGCTGCTGAGTGCTGAGCTGCTGGGAAAACCTGGGCACAGCAGGTGCTGAGCCTGCTGCCAGAAATGTGGCCTCCGTAGAGGATGCAGAGGAAAGCATCTTCTCTGCAACAGGAGGTGGCTTTGCTGGTGACCTGCCTCCTGTGCTGGCTTCCTCCTGGCTTTCTGCTGGTGAGCAAGGGCACCTTCTCTTGTGCCTGGCACCAGAAAGTGCCTGTAGCCTGTGACAGCCTCAGACGAGCTCGGGTTAAATTCCTGACTTCAACCTCAGGGGTTCCAGCTAGTCCCTAGAAACAGCAAGAAGCTTCCGAAGGAGGAGCTCCAGCCCAGGAGCGGGACCAGGAGCCTTTAGCGCCTCTTTTTGTCACTGGCTTCATTCCCCTCCCCAGCCTGTGGGTGAGCCCACCAAGAAGACCTCCCAGCAGAACAGGACGAGATCAGATTTGCCCACAAACTCTAACGTAGCCAAGGTTTTCACACCCCTCCCTGGATCGGGAGCAATTTGAGTAGCACTGGTGCCTGAACCAAGGCTGTGGCAGGAGGTGAGAAATCAGCAGGCATTCACAGAGACACCGCAATTAGCTGTGCTGGTGCCTCCAGCATATTTCAGTATACAATTTATTTTTTAAGTTCTAGCCCCTCCAAGCCCTCAGTTCAGCCACTTGTGGGAGGAAATCCAGGAAAACCACAGCTTGCCCAATGGCTGCGACCTCCCTGCGCCTCCGCCGCGGGGCTGCAGCCCTGGGGGCACGGGGTGCGAGCAGTGGGGGGCCACGAGGGATGGGATGAAGGCGAGGAGCTGCTGGTGGGCCTGTGGCCGTGCCCAGCACTGCATGGAAATTGCAGCCCCAGCTTCCCTCGCTTTGATATATTCTTGGATGCGCAGCGTGCGGATTTTCACCTTCTTGAATTTCGCCCCGAGCCGTGCGTTTGTCCAAACAGGAAAGCCTGCCCTGAAATCCAGACGTGGCCGCACAGGACAGCCAAGGTTTGTCTTGCTTGTGTTACCAGCCTCAGGGGCGGCCCCACCATCACAGAAAGTGCGGGGGGCATTGGGAGGCAGGAGCCAAAATCTCTCCTCCCCCAATTCAGTGTCTCACGAAGGCAGCTGCATCTCCGGAGGAGAAGCAGGAACAGCTGGAGCAGAAGAAAGGCCAAATGAGATGATGCCATTAGGATTATTTCATCTCCCGGTTGAACGGGAGCCCAGAGCAGTCCCTTTGTCAGTGAAATCCTCCTGCGTGGGGCTCTTACACCATCACAGGGCAGGGGCCGCGAACATGCGCCAGTCCTGGAGCGCTTCTCTCCCCGGGCAGGACAAGATGTCCCAGGGAAGGGCCGCGGGGGATGTGCAGCCCTGAATCTGCCATGGGGAGTGCTGGACAAAGTCATGGTGCATCGGACACGCAATTTCAGTGAAGGGTAGGTTGTGCCCCCAGATATCCTGTTGGGAAAATTAACTAAATGGCATCTTACTTGAATACCAGCAGCTCCCTTCCTCACTGGAAAAGTTTTCCCTGTCCCACCCAAACCTGCTGCTCCATTTTTGAAATAAGCCATTCTTACTTATTTTCCAATTAAAACATTTTTTTTTTGGTTTGTTTTTGTTTGTTTCAGATCTGATTTCTTCTCCTCATCCCTCTCCTTCTGCTCCTCCACGCAGCAGGAGAGCTGGAGGATGCTCTGTTGTGGCATGGCAGCTCCCCAGCTCCCAAAATACAGGTCTGCCTCTTTGGGCAGGGCTGGGTACGGAGGGGATGGAAGGGCCTCCTCTCTCCTGCTCTCTCTAATTTTTCCCCTCTAGCTCTATTTTTTTTCCAGGGAGCTCATGCTCGCCAGATCCTGCCTCCAGCACTCGTGGCATCTTTGTTGGCTCCATGTGCACGAGTGTCCAAAAAAGGGCTTGGAAGAGGAAAGGCATTAGACGGAGGCAATTATTAATGGTAATAAAACAATTGCAGGGAGGGATCCTGCTTGGACTGCATTATGAAGATGCTCTGAACCACCCACCTCTGCAACGTAACCTCGCTGCCTGCTCCACTTTGCCTTTCCTCCTCCCGTGCGCCAATTACTGGATTCATCCCACTTCACATTTTTATTTCTCCTCCCTGGGATTTGGACCGAGTGCCCTTTTCGGTGGTCATAATATGCCTCCTTCGTATCTTCCTCCTACCTTGTCATGTGTAAAGAAAAAGGGGGGAGTAATAATTCCTTTAATCCCTGCGGGCCCCCCGGTGCTGCTCGCTGTGTCCTCTGATCCAGAAGCCAGACAAAGCGGTGGCACAGATGCGTAGCTCGGCTCCGACTGCTGGAGACAGTCATTAAAGCCTCTCAGTTGGATGCACACGGTAAGGAATAGACCCCCCCCTTCTTCCCTCCCAGGGCCCAGGAAGCTTCCCAGCTCCCCTGACACCAAAGCCTCCCCTTCTCAATGTTTCAGGATCTGGATCTAATGACCCCACAGTCCTAGGTGGGGCCGGGGCTAACCTGGGGGTGCTGCAGGGATGCTGTCTCTGCCCCCTTGCAGAGGACAGCTTGCAGTGCTTCCCAATTTATCCTGCCAGCATCCTCACAGCATGCCCAGCTCCCAGCCCCGCAGAGCAATCCCTCTCCTCTTTGCAGGAGAGGGATTCTCCCCAGTGCTCTGGGTTCAAAAGCTGCTTTGCATGACCAAGGAGCCCTGTGCTGCTCTTTGAAGCCCGTGCACACAGAGGCAGTGGTTTGACACTGTTCTCATCCTGCACCACGTCTGTGGGATGTGCTCAGCGAACACGCTGCCTCGTGGTGTGCTCCGAGCCCTGCATGAGATGGCTCATCCCCACCCAGCGCACAGTAACACACCATCCGTCCCGTTACTGGCAGCAGCGGGGGGAAAGGGAACCTCTGAAATCCATAAATCAGACGCCTCTCGAATTGTGTGGGATTAAGGAAAAGGTGTGGAATAGAAATAATTTCCTTGGGGGAAACTATATCATTTCATTTGCCCAGGAAAATAATACACATTCATCGTGTGTGTCTTCAGGAGACTTTAAAAAGAATTAAATGCGGGGTCGGATTAAATGAGAGGTCGGAGGATGCAATTATGACCGTGGTTTCTCCGGGGGCAAAGCAGGAGGAAGAAATTCCCTTCCTGCCCCCTGTCCCAGCATTTGGGACTTGCCCTGACGCTGAAGTTCACTGCCTCTGTTGTTGTGTTGTCCCCCCACCCTGCTCCCTAAAATGCACATGCAGAGTGAAACACTGGAATAGGCCAGATACCAAAACCTGGCAAGGAGCAGCGTATTATTAGTTTTTAATCCAGATCCCACCCATTGCGGGATCCCATCCAGTGGAAGCAGAATGTCTCCATCTGGCTTTGCTGCCGGGGAACGTTTCCACGCCCCAAGCCCGGTGTCAGTTGGCAGTGGGGCCGTGGTGACAGCCCTGGAGAGGGGCAGGAGCTGGAGCCAGCATTCCCTGTGCTGAGGTTGGTTTGTTGTCACCCCCCCATGTCCTGGGCAAACCACGGAGCCTGGAGATGGCCTGGGGACCATGCTGCGCCCCAGCTACAGCTGGCTGGTGGGACCTCCATGCAGTGTGGTTGGTGGGACCAGCATGAAGCATGGTCACAGGGCCCACATGACAGCCCAGAGCCACCTCCCCATACTGCCACGCTGGAAAAAGGGGGACGAGGAAGGCAAGGTGAGGTGAAACTCGCTGAGAGCTTTTGACACGCTCCCATTAGCTGGCGGGCACAGGCTGTGCGGTATTGCTGCAGACTCTGAGCTCACCATGCTAATTTAAGACAGAAACTGCAACTTTATCTGCAAATATATGAAGCAATAATCAATAGCAGCCTTCTCCTGCCAGCCGTGGTCATGTCAGCACCCTGGCGTGCTCTCAGCCGCAAGCACTGAGACCGTAGCAGGGAGAGGCGGAGGTGGAGGAAAGGGAAGGCATGCAGGCAGGAGGAAAGCAAGCACACGGTGGGGATTCAGGGCTGTTTCTCCTCACCTTGCCACACCACAGGGCACTGTCAGGTCGGGCACAGCTGCGGGGGCAGCTGGGGCAGGCAGCCAGCCATGGTGGGCACGGGGAGGAGATGGACGTGTGCCACCTCCCAGCCGGTGCACACCCCGGCAGCTCATAAAAGCAGCAGGTCTTGGCAGCGTTTGCTCTGCTTTAACGAGGCCATCTGCTCCCGGTGACCAGCAGAGCAGCTCCTCTGGCAAAGCCTGGCCAGAGTCAAGACAGAAGCCAGCAGGTTTGGCCTCGTGAGGTGTCCTCCACGTGTCCCAGGACAGCAGCGGATGAAAACAGCTCGCTGCTCAATCAGCAGCTGTGACCCACGGGCAGCTGTAGCCCCGCTGTTGCCCACCTGTGCCTCCCTCCCTCGCCGCTGCCACCTGCACCTCCTCGGCACGCAGCTGACTCCAGCTCTGCTTCACGCCTGCTCTGGCACTGAGGACCTCAAAAAGGTGTCGTCCTCTTGGAAAGTCCAACCTGTGGTTGGATGCTGCAATCAGTGCTAAACTGAGCTCCAGTTGTTCGTTTAAGCTAATGCAATTACCAAAACCCAGGAGTTTTGAAAGGGTTGTTAGGGGCTTTTGCCTTCCGTTCAGGCCACGGACTTCCCCACAGCCTCCTCTGGAGGTGCTGGTGGCATCTCGCATCAGGAGCAGAAGATGCAAGGCCAGCCTCATCCACTCTGGCAATTCCCTCATCTCTGAGCATCATTCCCCCCCCCCTTTTACAAAACAAGCACGCTTAGCACTACACGATTTCGGCATCCGAGTCGCCTGACGGCTTTAGAAGGGAGTAAACATTCATCCTGCTGACACGGCAATAAAACCGGTGCATCTGGAAAAGAGGAGTCAGCAGCAGATGTGCCCCTGCAAACTGCTCGCCGTGATGAATGCTCTTCCCAGATACTGCTAATCCCTTTTCTCTTGCTCCTAGACCTCCTTAATTGTGCTCCCTGTGATTAAACAACGCTTTGAAGACATCTCTAGAAGTTGTTTCTTCCACAGCAGGAATGTCGCCTGCCGGGTTTGTAGCCTTTGGCTCTGGGTGTAAGGAGCTCGTTTGGCAAGGCAGCCGGGGACAGCGCCGCCTGGGTGCTCCCCTGTCCCCAACCTCCTCGGGGCACAGCCTCCACCAGAAGGTCAGGGCCACCAGAAGGCCAGGAGGGGACAGTAGGCTGGGCAGGGATGTGAGGATGATGGATTTCCAGGGATGTGCTGCTCGTCCCTGCACCAGAGGCAGGGCGTTTTGGGCAGGATGGGCGCTGGCACAGGGTGAGCTGTCCCAGCCTGCGCCCTCCCGACGGGGTGGAGGAGGAAAGTCCCCGTGGATGGAGGCAAGCGATCGCCTGAATATTCATGTATCGGCAGGCAAGCTACAGCAGGCCCTCGTTACAAACTGCTACCCAAACTGCTTACATCCATAAACGAGGGAAATAAATAAACAGATGCTTGTTAATTGACTTAATTACCAACCAGCAAACAGGAGACCGGGAGCACATCAATAAAAGTGTTTTAAAAAGCAACCCGTAGTAATTCTTTTCCATATGCAAACCACGCCAGTCTCTTCTGTCTACAATAGACTCCCCAAAGACGAGAAATGGATTTTCATTATGTGGGAAGGAGAGATCAAAGTCTGAAAATTAGGGTTGTAGCCCAAAATGAAGCCCAGGTTTGTGCCCTCTTCCCAAAACCCATTCTCTTTGAATCCCTGCTTTGGCTATCATTTAATATATTGCCTTGCCAGGAGTTATTGCAAACAATCCTCCTTGAACAAGAAAAGTCCAGCAGCTGAAGGAATCCTCCAGCAAGGACCAAGTAGGTAGGCAAAACAGTCAGGGCTGGAGACCTCTTAAAGATTTTTATTATTTATTGATTTTTTTTTTTTTTCAGAAGATGCTCAAGCAAAAGGGAAATGTGGAAGGACCCGTCCCCGCCTGTAATGCAGCCATGTCCAACCTGAGGATAGGGATAACTCTGATGCGCTCCCTGATGGGGCTGATGCTCACCGTGGATCCCCTGGAGTGCATAAACATGAAGCATCTCCCAAGCTGCAGGCTTATGGCCAGACCCTTGATCTTATTCCTGGGGTGGATGCATGGGTCCTGCCCACCCAAATGAAGTACGAGCCGTGGAGCGGTTCATTGACAAGGGCTGCAGAAGCTGTCATCTCCCGTGACCTCTCCTGATCGTGACACCACAAAGGAAAAAAAAAAAAAAGAAAAAAAAAAGAAAAAGGCCACACCAGGCTTTGAAATGTGCAACCACCTGAGCTGTAAGTTGATTTCTTTCACTTTCTGGAAGCGATTCCCCTTGTATGGGTGCTGCTGTTCAGCAGTGTCTGTGCAACTGCCTGCTGCAAACTGCTCGTTGCACGCAGAGCGAGCCTGCCAGCCAAGGCAGGTACCTGCTCTTTTCCAGCCCCGTTCCCAGCGTGTTTGCTCTGCTCCTGGTCTGGCAGGGAGGCTGTGCAGAAAAACCAGCGTGGGTTCCCTCGGGACTGCTTGCAATCAGCCTCCAGTGCCGTTACCTGTATCACGCAGCCCAAGTGCTTAACGAGTGCCCCGGGGCGGGCAGGTTATGAAAGAAGCCCCATTAGCGTGCCCCTGGCTGACGTCAATGTGACGCGGGGTAATCAGGGGAAAACGCAGAGCAGGATATGCAGAAACGCTGGGGAGAGCAGGCTTTTGGGTGCAACTGGAATAATAAAATAATAAAATAAAAAAAAATAGAGGTGGAGCAAGTGGCAGCAAGAGATGAAGGAAGATTGTCTTATCAGCCGGGGCTGGCAGCTGGGGTGAATTTCCCCTCCCGAGTGCAGACTCTGCAGGTGTGGGTGATGCTCTCCCAGTGCTCAGGTGCTGCAGCTCCAGCCCTTGCCATGGGCACGAGCAGGTCTGCATTCACCAGGATGGCCACGGCAGGGGACAGCGGGCAGGTGCAGAATTACAGCCCTCAGAGCCCAACACGACTGAAGACCGCCTGTTGCGTTGAAGCAGATTGCATGCTCGCCTCAAATTTTGTGATATTTGCTGAGCTACCTCCACCTGTAGTTCTGGCTTTGTTTGAAGGAAAGGAGTGAGTGAGAGCACTTGTGTTCCTGTGCTTGCAGGGCAGACCCTGAAGCTGGAGCCCAGGCAGGCTGGAAGAGCAGAAGGCTCAAGGAAGACAAGCAGCAGCTCCAAAAGCTCCCCCTGAGGGACATCGGGGAGAGGAGTGGGGCACACCGAGGTGGCTGTGGTGGGACCAGGTCGTGGTGGTCGGGGCTGCCCTGGGGTAAGGCTGTGGTTTGGCTCTGCAGAGGATGGGGACCCCGGCAGCCTTGCACGACCAGCTCCCGAGCCCGGAGTGTCTTTCAGCAAGACGTGCAGTTTCACCACCTGCTCGTTTGGGCCCCCGGCTGCCACGCTGCCTATCTGTCGGCGCGTTTGCTCGGCTTTCCAAAATGTGCCTGTCCGGCTCCTCTGGCATCCAACATGCTGCTGCCTGCCTCGTGCGCGCTGCAGATTCGGGTTCCTCCTTGGAAAGCATCCACGTCGCCAGCTATTTTTGGAACAGAGGCATCTATTGTCTTGCGCCGTTCCCTGCTGGGTTAAGCTCACAGCTGCCGAGGCCCCTTCCCCCAGCACCCTCTCCCTTCCTTCCCATGGCACGGCTTCTGCGTGCCAGGCAGCATCTCCAGATATGCTGCTAGAGCACCCCGAGGCAGGGCAGGGCCCTTGCCACCATTTTGTGGGTGCCCTGAGCCAGCGTCTGCCCCAGGAGCTGTCAGGGGGTCCCACAGAGGGGTGGATCGTGGTGTCCATCTCCAGCAACAGGCTTCCTAATCCTGCTGTGAGGTCCTGCCAAGCTGATCTGCAGCACGGGACCGGGTCCTCCACCCCTCCAGGCTGAAGCCAGAGGTGGAGCAGCGTGGCAGGGGCTACAAATGGAGTGTGTGGGAGCTGCGCTTCAGGCTGAGCCCTTGCATTAGGCAAGAAAGAGAGGAATTGCTGGACAGGCTGGGAGCTTGTGGCAGGGCTGTCCTTCTCCCTTGCCACAGCTTCCAGAGCTGGGCTGGGTTTTGTAGCCCTGGTGCCCATAGCAAGAAGGCTGGGCTGCTGCTCCCTGATCTCAGGACCTTTGGGATTCCTTCAACCTAAAGTTTCATCTCTGATTTCCTCGGTCATGTTGGGTTCCCTTTGCTGCCCATTTATTTGTGCCTCTACCAGAAAGCTAGCTGACAATTTTCAAGTGTCTTGCTCTGCAGAAGAACTGAAGAGGGGGGGAAATGCAAGATGGGACAGAGCTATTTTAATCTAAGTCCATCTGCGTTGATAATTCTCTATCCAGTCCCGATCATTGCTGGAATTCTTGAGCAGGACAGAGTTTGCTGAGCGGCCTGGCTGAGCAAATACCTTGCATGCTTTGCAGGCGCTTCAGCCTCTGCATGCCCATGCATCTCTGCTTGCAGCCTGGTGGGTCAGCACATGCTTGAGCAGAGCCACCATCAGAGCCGCAAATGCAGGCACCCGCTCCCCAGCACGGGGAAGAAGCGGAGCCAGCAGCTCCTTCCCACCGCACGTTCCTCTCCCTGCAGTCAGATCCACGTCGCGGGAACAGCGAATTCGGCACTGATGGCCCCTCAGCATGTTAGGAAAGTTTCGTGCAATCTGTTTACTTTTGGACATATGCTGCGCTCGTGCAGCCTGGAGTCTCGCTGCCTCTAATAACTTGAGGTGCAATTTCCTCCTGTTTGGTGCCTGGTGCACTGATCGACACCTGTGGAAATAGGCCTCTGGGGGGGTGCAAAATGCCTTTGCTCCTCTGGGGTAGCCCCTTTACTGCTGCTGTTAAAAAAAAAATGGCACATGTTGGCCCTGAGGTAGGGATCCTCCATGGGAAATCAGAGGGAGATGGGAGGCGATGGGACCACGCTGCACTTCACCACCTCGGGAAGCTTGAGGAAGGCTGAGATACCTGCATCTGCATGGAGCTGCATGGATGTATATATGTGTGTATGGAGCTGTAAAGGTAGCTGTGTGTCTCACAGAAAGCAGATTGTGCTTCCAAGGAGGAGTTCTCTAACCCTCGTTGCAGGGATGCAAGGTCTTTGCTGCACCTGGGAGCTGCCTGGGTGGACAGGCGATGTGCATTTAATGCACAGCTTCTCTCCTTGCAGAAAAAGAGCACAAAATCCTAGTTTGTTTTTCTGTTTTTTCCCTTGCTTTTTGAGCACTTCTCTAGCATAATGCCCTGAGGGGGATTCACTGAGCTCTGTGCCACGGTGTCCTCCTGCCTGCGCCCAGCTCACCAGCATGGCTACAACAGATTTTGCACCAGAAGAGACAACTAAAAAAATAATAATTGAGAAAGGGCCGTATTTGAGGGTTGGCAAAACAGATTTATTTATTTATTTATTTTCCAGCAAAAGTGAAGTTAAATGGGACAGAGATCTTCCTGCACCCTCTCTGATCTCAGATGAGGAGCTTGGGCTGTGATGTACCCTGTGAACCAGGTAAGGTGCATTCGGCAGAACTTGCTTTTCAATGTACATATTAGCAGTGTATTTGCAATGTAAATTAATAAGTGCCATCTGCTTACCTCTGATGTTATGAGAATGTTGTCTTGTGACTGGCTACAAACAAGACAACATTGAAGAGGTAACACCTGCTGGTACATATTACTGCAATTTATTTTCAAACATTAGAAGATTATTTTGGATGGGAAAAATAGGTATAATCTCCTCTTGCTGTGTATTAAGTGCTAATGAGAGGCACGTGTGTGGATTGCCAGACGACATCGTCGAGGAATAAGCAGTAAGGATGGAGCAAACGGCATGCGAGGGCAGCAGGAAGGAAGCCGTAGCTCTGCAGCTCGCCCGCGGCTCGCCCCCGACTGCTGGGAGATCCAAGGGGATGTTTAGCTGTGAAAAGTCACTGCTTGTCAAGTGTAAAGCTTGCTGTAGGAGTATCTTGATTTCAGGCAAAAGTGCCCTCTAGGAAAAAAAAAAAAAGTCGAAACATCCCTCTTTAGCCTTTGGGGATGGGACGGTTGAATTTTCACTTCAAAATCACAGCCTACTTTAGAAATGGAAATCATTTTAGTACTGAGGCAGAGACAAAATCTTTCAATTTTAGCAAAATCAAATCTTTTATTTGACCCCAGATATGTGTCCCCCCCAGTTTTCAGGATAGGAATAAAATCTGGAGAAACGGACAACGGACAAAAACCGGGATCCTTGCAGACAGCCTCCTGTTGCACCTCTGTGTTTCACTCACCCCCTGATTCTCCTGCAGATCGGCAGCACCGCAGGGCAGTGACTCGCAGGCGTGGGGTTTGGTGTCTGGCAGCGGGCTGGTTACGAATTCCAGTGTGGCCATACAGGTATTTATGTAGGCAGCTGCCGTGTTGGTGACTCGCTTTTATTTTATGCTGCCTGAAGCATCCTGAGGCAGGAGCGGTGCCGGAGAGCCCGCACAGGAGCAGCTGGGCTGTGAAAGGCACCACAGCCGGGTGCTCTCCAAGCCCTGCTGCAGGCGATGCTGGTTTCCCCCATTTTGTGCACCCTGTGAGGAGCTGGGTGTGCAGGACCGTGTCCCTGGGGGAAGTGTAATGTTTTTTCACGAGCAAAACTTTGGATAGGGCCCTGAAGAAGGGGTTGGACCCTGCAGCAGCCAGCAGGAGCATCCCTGGGGACAGACTGGTGCCCTGGGCCAGATGGGAGGGTGGGGAAGCCTGAGCCAGCAGGCCGTGAGCAACTGCTAAAATGTTCCTCTTGGGGTGCGTTTTGAGTGAATTTTCTAGCAACGTTTATTTTTGAAAGGCTTGCTATCAGTGTTACTGAGCAAACCTGGCAGCTCCCCTTGCTCTGCCACAGCCCTGCTGGGAGCAGCACTGCTGGGATCTCACAGCACTAACGTGATGCACCCAGGGGTGCAATGCATGGCAAGGATCTTCTTGCCCTGGGTGCAGGGCAGACCACAGCAGCCCTCAGCTCAGCAGCAGGGTGAAAACGCCGAGCAAGTATCAGGCAGTGCAGGTAAATGGTGTGGAAGCAGCTCTGTGCAGTGCACATAGCTGAACGCAGGAGTCCCACCTGGAGCAGACCTCCATGGAAGCAGATTGCAGGGGTCAATTACGCTCAAGAAAGCAGAAATGGTTGAAAGCACAGGTGAATTCAACTGGGAAAGTATTGTTGTGTATTGACCTTGTTCTCATGATCTTTCCCTAAACATCCACCCTTGTTACAGACCATAACAGCACGAGGTGCTTGCTAGAGCCGTTGCTGTTAGACAAGAACCTGAGCTAAGCTGATCTAAGTGAAGAATTGCTTACTGTCAGTGGTGGGCAATATTTTTACGCTCTTTCTAAACTGATAAAATAATTTTGCAGTGAAATGGTATTGATGGGAGTTGTCCCCTTCCCTCCCCCTGCATCTTCTGTCTCATTTTAAGCGCAGGGCCGATGGTGGGCACGCATGGTGATCCCCTACAGTGAAACTGAAGTTTCACTGATTTTAGGGGGGAGAAAACAGAGAGGGCCAAGGGCTGGATCATTGCCTGGCTGCGGCAGGGTGCTCACGCCAGCCACCTCAGCTGCTCTCAAAGCACTGCTGTCCTCTCTGACAGCCCCATCTCACCCATCCCCTGCCCCTTGCTGAGGGATCGGAGCCGTCAGGGCCATGCTCACTAGCTAACACCTTTCCCACACGATGAGCTTCTGCCGTGCTTCCTCCCCAGCTTAAAACTTCCCATCCTTTTAAGTTATTCTGGAGATGCTCAGCTGCCTCTTTGCCCCTTGGCCTTCCTCCCGCCTCCCTCCCCCAAATCCGGGGCGATACAGTCAAGCCCTAATGAAACACTGCCGGTGACTCAGGCCCACTGGCTGTTGTGGGTGACACGTGGCCCAGCTCACAAATGCCACCGCAGGCGTTAGCACAGGGCATTACATGGGCAGGGGGGCGGAGGGGAGCTCGGGGGGATGCTCTGCAATCGCTGCCCACCCGCAGGAGGCCGTGGCAGGGTCAGGATGGCGCGCGGTGGCTCCTCATCCCCAGGGCTGGGCAGCTGCCAGAAAGGGGCTGGCCACAGCTGGGTTTCCTGTTAAAAATAACTCCACGGCATAAACTTTCACGGGAGGAAGGGCAGAGAGCGGCGGGGTCTGGCGCCGTCCCCTCGGCCACATCAGAGCCCAGCTCAGCAAACATCTGCCCGGCCGGCGTGAGTCAGCAGCGGCCGGGGGCAAGGGCAGGAAATGTCTGAGTTTGACCCCGGCGAAACCCAGGGGAGACAAGCCTTTGGGGCTGGAAGGAAAACAAACACTGGGCTAAACCGATGCTCAGAGGACCTCTCGTCTCTGGCTTGTTGACCGCTTCACTTGCGTAAAAGCAGCAAAAATGGTGAGAGGAGAAAGAAAGAGAAGAGGTGAGGAGCACGGCATCCCAGAGAGGCGTGGGGAGGAAGGCTTCGCTGTTGGTGTTGCTGTTTGGCTGCAGCATTTCCTTTGTTTTCCCTGTGCCCCAAGCACCCAGCAGGACCGGGCTGCTCTGGCTGCATGGCATCAGCATGACCCCATTTGCTTTGCCGGGGCACAGGAGGATCTGTTTTCCCACACCCTCCTCATCCTCCCGACATCCCCAGTGCAAGGCACCTGTGGGCAAGGGGCTGCTGCAGCTTAGGGTGCATTTTCTGCCTTCTCACCCAGCGTTCCCCATCCCACACTGAGTTTCTTTTCCCTCTGGGCTGCTGTCACTGGCTGGGGGCTGTGTGACAGTCTGTGGAGTCGGGGTGCCCTCCAGGCCACATCTGCCCCTCGCAGAGGATGCTCTTGGCTGTCATTGAGTGAAGTCATGACCTTGCACATCATCAGGCAGGGCAATACGGTGGTCACCCCACCAAGAAGAGGGCATCCCGAGCACACCGTGCTCACCAGCTCCTGCTCCACAGGACAGCACAGCACCGCCGTGCCCATCCAGTGCTCCCCAGGTCGTGCCGGTGGTGGATTCCCTCGTCCTGCCAGAGCCGCCTGGTACAGCAGCGCTGGGAGGAGACGCTGGTAATTTTCCACTATCCCCGGCATCGGGAGGCACAGAGCAAGCACTGAAAACCTGGCGAGGCTCCACCGCGGGTTCACACCTATTGCTTTCGCAAGACGTGCGATGATAAAACCCTGAAAGGCAAAGAAAGGCCATTGCTCTGATTCACTTAGCATGCTGCAAGCTGTCTTGTTTTGTTCCCTCTCCTCTTTTTCTTTTTCCTTCCCTGTTCTGGGAGACGAGGGGGGAGCGTTACGTGTTCCCAGGCTATTTCAGGCCATCGCAGCACTGGTGTCTCAGGTAGCCTGACCCCGCCACCCCGCTTCTGTCCCAGCCCTCTCAGCGATCCCAGGATCCGCATGTCGGCTGTGACACTTCCTAATTGCTCAAGATGGATTGCTTAAGAAAAAGCCTTCCATATGGTCCACAGGATTTATTTTTTTTTTTATATTCCCCCCCCCTCCCCGTTTCTACAACTGTTACAGGAAAAGATATTTTTCCCCATTTGACATATATGTAATCTTCTTCTGATACACAAATGCCAGATGGCACTGCAAAAAGATAATAAATGTGTCTGCAGCCTTCGACAGTTAAGTCTGTGAACCTCGAAAATGGCTACAGAGGAGCTGGGAGTGGCTGGGCTCAATTTTTTTTTTTTTGGTCGGGGGTGTTGAAAACGAAGCATTTCATCTAAGGGGGTTAGGTGAGCCTGGAAATGCTCTGTGCCTGCCCCATGCCTGAGCCTGCTGGGGATGCTGCTGCCAGAGGATGGAGAGGCTCCGATGGTGGCTCTGCTGCTCCCAAGGTGGACAGGGGAGTTGGCAAGCTCCCAGTGTGGAGATGCAGGAGGAATATGTATTATTCTGCCTGTATATAGCCATCTTTTGGTGTGCTGGAAAACACAAAGTTTTTGATAAAACCATGCCAAACTCTTGGTTTTTGTGATGCTGGATGTCTTGCTGGCTTCTCCCAGGGAAGCTTTCCTGCTGGGCATATTTGGAGTGTGCTGGTTGTGGCTGTGGTCGAAACACAACACGGGCCCTTCAAACAAGCCCTGTGTGACCTGGCCTGGGGTTTGCACAGCAGCGAGCAAATAAAAGCCAGCTCGCCTCTGCCAGGTGAGCGCTCTGTGCCCGTGCCTTGTGTCAACCGTGGGAAGGAAATTCGAACTGCAGAGGGATTTGGGTCTTAAAACCACCTCTGGGAAGGGGCCCTGTGGTTGAACCAGCAACAAGGAAAGCAGATTCCTGACACCTGGTGAAACAAAGCTGTTTGCAGCCGATGGGCACCTCACCGTCGGGTTTGGAGGGACTTTGAATCGGGTACTGGAAACCCAGGGAGGAGAGCTGTGAAGAGTCCTGCCTGCTGCAAGGGCGGGTGAGCAAGATGGCCTTTAATTTGGTTAGGAGCACCATCCTGTAACCATGTTACTCTATGTAAATGTTGCTTAACGCTAATCTGCTAACACAATTTCTCTAATTATGGGGATGAAAAACGACTGTCTTCTTGCTTTGTGCTCTGGGATAACCTTGGAAACGCAGTATTTTGCTGCAGCAAGGAATTTCCTCTCCAAACCTTTGTTTAATAAACAGATACAAGAGCAATCAGGTTGCAAAGCGCTTTCCTGGAAAAGGGCAGATTTCTTTTTTTTTTTTTTTTTTTTTGCTGAGGCTGCGGGGGAAGGGAGGCCGTCCGTCTGTCTTCACGCATTGAACTCCTTTTCTCACGCCGCGCCGCTCCTGTTGGCGCTGTGACTCACCCCAAGCCGTGGATCTGCTTTTCTGCAGAGGCGGCTCGGCCTCGCCGGGGCAGCCCCTGCTTTCACCAGCAGGCACCTCGCTGGCTTGGGTTTCGTCTCTTCCCCATGACATCCATGTGCATGGGGGAGGCAGGGAGGGATGGGGCATGGCCTCCGCACACGCGCTCTGTTACCTTTCCTCCTGCTGCAGTGTCCCGTAATTTCTTCCTTTATCCCAGGGAAGCACCCTCCGGAGCCACCTGCCCCACCAACACAACGTACCACAGATGATGGTCTCCACGACCCACCAGGTTTCAGGAAGATGAGGGGTTCCCAGCCTCAGCTCAGGAGTGGCTTTTTGCACGATGTTCACCTGCGATGAACTCAGCTCAGCTTCGTGGTACCTGCCGGGCAGGCTCGAGACCTCCAGAGGTCCTGCACAGCTGAATTTTTTCTGCTGCTGACCAGAAGAAATCTGATGTTTAGGACAGGCTGCAGGGCTGATGGATATCAGCTGGGGAAAAGGCTGCCCAGCTCTTTGGCCTGCTGCTTTCACTCCACAGCCCCATCCAGGAATTTTCCGCAGCCTTTGTACAGATAATCAGTCACGCCATCCCCAAACCAGTTGATGGCCTGCGAGTGAGGTTGTGCAACTCTTTTTTTTTTTTTTTCTTTTAAAGCTTTACCACAAAATACAAGCTATATGGGAGGTAAACCTGCTTGTGCACGAGGAAATTAAACTGGCATGGCTTTTATCGTGCCTGATCCAGAATATCTGCCCGCGTGGGCATGCTTATTCTGGAGCAAGGGCTGAGCCCAATGCACCTGATGCGATCTCTCTGCTGGGGAGTGTCCAGCAGGCAGGCGTGGGATGTGCCCACGAGGATGAGCTCGGAGGGGATGTCCCCACTCTGTGGCCCTCTGTGAAATCATGCAGCTTTCTGCAGGACACAACAGGCTGCAAGGTGACGGGTGCTGTTCTTAGCGTGTGCAAGGTGAGCTTGCTACACCTCTGTGTCTGTCCAGGGGTGACCGTGTCTCTTCCCTCCAGCTGCAACCATCAGTTCTGCTTCCAGTTAATGCATTTTTCTGCTGGGCCTTTTGATATCTGAACCTTTCCTGGTGCTCCACGGCTGAGTGAACAGAAGAAACACCCTCCTGCGCCATGGGGCTTTGGGCTCATTGCGGCTGGCTGCTGGACATGAACTTTGAAGGCTCTCTAGGCTATCCAGTGAGGGGAAAAATGTAAAAAGGAGTGAAGCCTCAGAATGACATTGCTGGTTTCCCTGTAAATACTCAGTGTCATCACTCCCCCTACCATTTACCATAACCCTGAACTGCTTTCATACTTTATTTTTAACCAGAAAGGTGGGCGACTGCCACAAACAGCATCCCCCCTGCCTGTGGGCACACAAGCCAGGGAGGAAATATTTTCTGGCTGGATCTCCGACCTGCAGCCAGCAACATCTGGGCTCCTCCAGAGGCAGCTGGCGAGGCTGGCCAAGGAGGCCTGTGGCAGATGTGCTGCTGATTCAGAGACATCCAAACACGGGTGTCCTACAGGCAGGGCCTTGGCATTGAGGTGACCTCGGCCTTCCTTCGTGCCCAGGGCCAGCACAGAGCCACCAGCTCCGTGGTGGGGCTCGCTGCTGCAGAGCCCGCTCTCTCACAGGGTTAAATAACAGTGGAAGCGCTGAGAAAGTGTTTGTGGTGTTATATCAGCTAAAGAGCTGTTGAGACCAGCGAAGCGGTTATTAGATTTGTCCCTAACACTTATTAAGTTTGTGCCTGCTGCTGAGATGGTCGTGCTGCTCCTCTGTGTATCCGCGGACATGTCAGCTATACCAAGGCATTTCCAATTATCCCGTCACCTACCAGATAAGGTGGGCTCAAATAGTTTCTTTAATTTCTTGGAAAAAAAAAAAAGCAGAGGAGAAATGCAGCAGCTCAGTGATTCTGTATTTTACATGGCCTTCGCATAGCAAATGCAAGCTCAGTTTCCTTTCAGGAAGCCAGAGGAGGGCACATTCTCACACATGTGCACGCTCACACACACGCGTGCACGCCAGCAGCACTGTGGGCAGATAACACTCCATCCCACCCTTCTGCCCTTGCCGTCTTCAACATTTCCTCTTAGGTTCTGCAGAGGGTTTTGCAGGCAAGGAAGGAACAGATAAATATGGGACTTTTTTTAGTATTCAGCTCTTTTCTTTCCTGCAGTGCTGCCCACAATCCGGAGAAGTTGCCTCCAAAGCATGTGCCCATTGATGCACCCATGGGCCAGGCTGGATCTCTGTGCAGCACCGTGCTGGCACTCCTCTGCGTGCTCCCCCTGCTCCCCCAGACCCCACAGAGCAAAGGTGGGGAGGTGCACACAGCTCAGTTTTTGCTGACCTGTGTCTCTGATGACCTGGGCTTTCCAGCTTGCATAAGGAGCTCAGAAGCGCCTGGGGCTCGATTTCAAAAGGCATTTCATTTCTAACAGGCAGGTGAATTTGGCGCTTAACTTCCAGTGAGATCTAACTAACCGGCCTAAGTGCTTTTACAGTCCTCGCTGGGTGCCTATCTATATCTTTAGGTAGGGAGATAGGGGGGGAAATGTGGCTTTTAATAGCTCGTTAGTCAGAGCGAGGCATGCCTGTGCTGCAGGCAAGCAGCTGTGCTGCTGCAGCGTGTGGACAGACCCAGGGGACTGCTGGAGGCTCCCGTGCCAGGACCAGGCAGGACTCAGCCCAGGTAAATCCTCTCCCATAGTACCTGGAGCAACACGCAACCCAAAAGCTGTATGATTTGAAAGGAGACAGGCTTCAGGCTATTAAAAAATGATCGATTTACCAGCGTGGTCTATGGTTTGCCCTTACAGGTGTTGTGTGTCCCCTGGGGAAGCCACAGGCTGTCCCCATCGGTGGGCCAGGGCTGTGGGGACAGAGGGACAGCGCAGGGCTCTGCTGGGGAGCACTGCTGGAACCAGCAGCAGAAACATCCAGCTGGCCAGCTAGGGCAGGAATGAGCAGCTTCGAGATACAGCAGGAAGGATTTCGGTCAGGCATCAGGAAACACTTTCTATTAGTAGGAAAAGTGAAACACCTGGAGGGACACAGCTCGATTCCCAGCTCTGCTGTGATTTCAACATGACCTGAGCGAGCCCCTCAGCCCCATCGCACACCTTTTGCCCATCTCTGCACTGGTGTTATGAGCACTGCCCTCCCCTGCAGGGCTGCTGTACATCAAACGAGCTATTTAAAGCCCGTAGCAAACAAGCCTTACAGAGATATTCGCTATTATTTCTGATTGTGTGGACTCCAGAGTGACTGATTATCATTTTTTCCCCGTGAGCAAAATGATGGTTGTCATAAAGAATGCTTTAGGGTTTAAGACAGATACAGACTCTTTTAACAGCATTTATTTCTGAAGAACCTTCATCTTTACTCTCCCTCACGACAGCTGGTTTTTGAGTCATGAGCTAGTTGCAATTACTCTGCCTCTGTAATTCTGTCTTCCCCACACTCTTCCTGGCTTCAGAGCCACTGGAGGATGGTCACCTGTGTGGAGCTGTGCACAAAAATTGGATCCCAGCTGCAGGCAAGGGTAGGAGGAAGTGAACGTGGAATATTTCAATTTAAAGTGTGTTTATTGTGCATTCTGTCACTGATTTGATGTAAAAAAATTTGCATGCAAATGACAGCAGATTTGCATCTCTCCTTTCATTGACTGCAGATGTTGAAAAAAAAAATATATTCCAAGGCTTTTTTTAAAGCTTTCAAAACATCTTAGTGGAGATTTTGGCGGCTGCCCTATTAACGCATCTACGTAAATATGCTGACCTCTCCTGAAAACAGTAAGCTGATGCCAGGGCATTTGCATTGATGTGTTCACTGCAGCGCGCTGCAGTCTTTGCCCCTCCAAGATTTCCAGCATCTTTTGGGAAATATGTGCTGCTGACAACCTTGGACATGGAACCATGTCTCTTGTAAAAATGTGTTTTTACATCGAAACATGTGGAAGAGTTTTTCTAATTTCCATGAAGATGCTAGATGTTTTTTATGAGTTGGAGGTGGAAGGAAATGAGGAGCGAGGCACCAGGCAGCCAGGAGGCACCCACAGAGCTTTGGAGGCATCGTCTTCCATTATCAGTAGTGGGCACTGAGATCAGAGCAGCCTTGGGCAATGGGACTGAAATTGCTTTCCCTTCCCTGGGACCAGGTAGGCTGTGAAATCCATCGTGAGCACCTCAGGAACATCCAGAAGATGTCCTGGGATGTGCCTGGGGGAGGTCACATCTACAGGGCTCCCCATGCAGCCCTCTCCCAGGGCAGGGCTGTCTCCAGAGACCAGTGACCACGGCCCCAGGTTTTGTGCAGAGCAGGTTAGGAACACCTTTTCTTTGTTTTCTGGGCGGCCCTCGACTCCAGGCAATCTGAGCCTGCTTATCAGAAGGCTGCTGCATATTTACATACAGGCTGTGTACACAAAATTACACTGTATGGGGTGCTCTGCTTTGCCTATGTTATAAGATAACGTAGCAAATTTGCAGCCCCAGCAGCAGGCCTGGTAAACAGGGCACAAAGTGGGTCCTAAAACCCACTCAAGCAGTAGCTGTTTTCCTTTCCTAATCTCCCGAGTGAAGAGTTGAATATTAAGCCTCTCTCTTGACTTGATTTATTCCAGTCACCCATGTTTCAACCATTGTGTGGGAATCGAGGACCTTCTTTTTCCCCAGTCAAAGTATTCTTTGACTAGGGAAGCTACAAAAATGACCAAAAGGGGGGAAAAATAAAAATAAAAACAAAACTAAGAAACTAACCACTAAACATAAACAGGAACCGGGCTGCTAATGAAACAAGCTCTGCTGAGGTTGCTGTGACTCTACAAAAAATTGGCAAAAAAGTTACTCTTCTAAAGCTGCCAGGTTTAAATAAGATGCTATCTGTGTGGAGATTTTTTTAACATTAGCTCTGCATCTGTCTTCAGCTAAGAGATATAAATAGATTTATACCTTTCTTTCTATGTATATAATTTTATATATAGGTGTGAGTGCACATTAAGTGTATGCGTGTGTATGTGTATATAAAATATGCACAGTATCTAGATAGAGCCATCCATCTATCAAGTTATAGGCCTATCTTGTGCTCATTCTAGAAAGGATTTAAAAGGAATTGCCTAAATACATAATACATGCTAGGGTTTTTTCTTTTTAAGAGACGAGTCAAGTCAAATGCTATGATATAAATTTTTAATACCCCTATGACCTGATTTTTTTTTTCGTCTTGTGCAAGGAAGTTAACAATATGAAATGTCTTTCTGTTGTCTCTAATCATGGGCTGATTTGATAAGCTGTAATTATTATTCATATTTGAGATCTGCAGCTAGGGAGATGCGGGAGGTGTGGGGACCATTGGGATGTTTAGGTTTATTATTATTTATTACTGCTATGAATAAAAGAATAACGATTACAGAGATTCTGCCAAGTAGTTCACGCTGCAAATTTAACCCATTTAAAAACTGTTGCAATCCATTTACATCTGATGGATTCTGCAAGTCTCTTTAATCATGTTTTTTGGTTCCTTACCCTATCGCAGAGGTTGTAAATCTGAAAGAAATGGAAGGAACGATTTTTGTAGGCCCTATCAAAATGCATTGTGTTTGTTGTTTGACCTTGGGCACTCTGTCTCCTTAGGAACACTGGAGGAAGATTGCAAGGAGTACTCGTGTCACAGCTGCAATTGTGGTTATTACTATTCATCATCTTACTAGGCACAGCATTCAAAGACTTGTGCTGAGCAGAGAGAGAGTTGTGATCCCCATTATTATCAATATCCAGTGCTTTACAAGTGTCTTGGCAAAGGTGAAGGGGGTTGGTAAGTGGGAAACAGCAAACAGCATCTTTACTTCGAGAGCAATATGTGCTTGTGTTGATTTCAGCGCTGCTTCTCTCGAATAAACTCAGAAATCTTTGTCTGTCTGGGAACTGCCAGTGTCCTTGAAAACGTCCCGGTGCTTGCACCAGGCTGGACTGAACATCCTCCTGCCTGGATAGGTGACAGCAGGTGGAACGGCATTTTAAAGACTCTGAGATGTCCATGCAAAGGAGAGGAAAAGTGCAAAATGCGTGCCTAGCAAGGTGGTGGGGAATGGGTCATCACCTCTGAGAGAGAGGAGGAAATGGATCCGATGGGGACCCTGTTTTGCTGGGGGTGCTTTGCTGTAAATGCAGGCATCTATCACCTCCATCACGCCTCGTGAGGAAGTGGTGGAGGTCAGCTCCGTGCTCTCTCACAGTGGGGAGAGCGATTCTCCTGAACATCCCCCATGATGTTGAACTTAGCGATATGGTTTAGTGGAGGACTTGTTAGTGTTAGGTCAGAGGTTGGATTCGATGATCTTGAGGTCTCTTCCAACCTAGACAATCCTGTGATTCTATGTGCAAAGCACGATAGGTTTAACCTTGCCAAAAGGAAGAAAAGAGCAGTGTCCGCACAGCCCTCCGCTGCACGCTCTTTTGTGCTGCATAGATTTCGTTCGGATCTGTAACCTGTGTGGCACCATCCAAGGGACAAAACAAACGTGTTTTCAGAATAGCAATTCGTTTTTCAAGTGATGTAAGTGCTTCGGGCTGCTTCACTTAAAGGCTTTGACATCTGTGGGTGTATGGGTGCAAATATATTGCTTATTTGTTCCTCTTACCCTCCTGGAGTCTGAGCCAGAATTACCTTCAGTCATTACTCTATCCTGCCTCCATAAGTATAGACTGTCCTTGAAAGAAAAACGAATACATCTAAGTAACATCCTTTATGAAAAATGTGGGTGTAGATTCCAGGAAAAATGCTCTCATAAAACTCGTAGTTGTAGGAGGCTGAGCCATGTGATGGCCAAAAACACCAGAAGGAAGAGCTCTGCAGCAAGAGGCCATGGCTTGAAAAATACACAGTTGGTTTCAAGCCTGAGATGTCCCGTGGAAGGTAGAAAATCAGCCTGATGTTCACAGGGATTGGTCTGGTGCAGCTGCCCCCGTCTCCCAGTGGAAATAAACTCCTGAGCTCATGCCTGAGTAGGCATTTGTGTCTCCTTCAGAAACTCTGGTACCTGATTTCTCCCTAAATATCTGTTGGTTGGTGGAAATTCTGTAGATGACAATAAAGGGCTGGGAGAGCCAGTGAGACTTTAAGAAGTGACGTTTCAGGGCTTTAAGGAAAGCAGTGGCATTTTGGGCCCAGTTTCTCCTCAGTTCCCTGAAGCTGAATCTTCTCTGTAATGTACTCAGAGGCAAACAATTCATCTCAGAACCTGAAATACACAGATTTATTCCAAGGAACCCCTTATGTTTAGGCTTTACATCTTTCTGTCTGCAAATGTTTTGCCCATTAAATAAGAACTTCAAATTAAGATTGCCCACAACAACATAACCTCCAAAAATTTGTGTCCTGTATCCCCCCCCTTTTTTTTTCAATTGAGACTAATCCAGACTTTTAGCTATGCCAGAATATTAGTTCTCTATTCTTTGCGTGTTTGCTATACACATTTTTATGACACAGTCTCAATATCTTTTCCTTCGTTTCTTCTACCAGGGCAGAAGTTTGAAGATATGAGCCACAGCATATGCTATTGTCCCTTCCTAGAACAAAGTATATTGTTATGTTCAAAATGCGATGCTTTTCTCCCCGTTAAATGTTTTCTAGCTGTATAGACCAACCATCTGTTTCTCCTTCTCTCTTCCATCATTCAATTCTTTGCACATTATTCAAATTAATTATCAATTAAGAACTGGAAAGATTGGATAATCAAATTACAGAATGGTGAGATGGTCAAAGTAATACAGCACCTTATTAAAAGCTTGCAGATAATTAATAAGCCAATAAATTCATGATCTCTTGTTTTACAGACGAACCTTCATCCCAATAAATGAAAGCAGACATGTGACAGAGTGACATGTATCTCTTCTTGGTCATTTATTTATGAGCATAGGAAATGACATTGACTAACCCCCTTTCCATTCCAAATTTCAGATTGTAATCTCCTCTCGGATGTCAAACTAACCCAGATAATAAAACAGCTTGAGTCTCAAGACGTTCCCCAGAGAGGTAAGAAAGTTCTTTTTTATTTCTTGTGCTAAAGTGAGGCTGGTTTATAAGGCATGAAATTAGCTGTCCTTTCGCTCTATGGTTGTCCCCAGAAGAGGAGGAGGTCTGCGTTCGGGGTGAAGGCAGAGCAGTACTGCTGGCTGCTGTGCCCTTGGGCAGCTGTAGGATCACACGGTTGGACCGTCTTTCAATATCCCTCCATCGAGCAGTGCTCAGAGAGGGAAATTTATGAGGCTTGGCAGCACGGTTGGCACTCAGGGAGTGCCTGGGGAAGATGAGGATGGAGGAGAGCTGATTGTGCCCTGTGTGATACCTGAGAGATTCTGGCTCTGACCATCTGTACAAGCTGATGTGTCTAAACCTTTCCTGCAGTAGTCCCTCCGGCTTCTTGGCCTCTTCTTTCAGAGGTAACCATATCATATGTTTGCAAAGGTGGTGGCTCATCCTCGAGCACAAAAGCAGAGATAAACCAAAATTTAGGGTTGGAAAGGGCTGGAAGAGATTATGCTGTCTGGTCCTGTGCCCCAGAACATCAAATCCGCCTTCCCCGCTCCTGGTGACCTGTCTGCCACCTCTGTTTTTCTGCTTGCTTTCATTTTCAACTAGAATTTTACTGGCAGGACTTAAGGCCAGCTTTGAGACTGTGCTGAGAGCACAGATGCCCTGTAAGTCCCCTGTCCTCTGGTAATGTGTCTTTAAGGGGTTGCAGCTTCAGTTAGCTGGGACCCTAGGGTCTCCAGCAGCCAAGAATAAAGCTGGGGAACTAACACAAATGGCTGTCGCCATTTCATGTGGCTCCTGATGACAACTCATTTACCTCAATATTATTTTCATCCTTTTTTTTCCCTCTCCAAAGCCTCTTCCGTCACCCCCACCCCCCAAACCCAAATTCATCATAGCTTTGTAGCCATCACAGCCTGCAAAGCATCCTCTTCACATTCTCCTAACGCAATTGCACATAATTAAGCAGTACATTTACATGTCAGACTAAACCCACTGTCCAAGCTGCTCGTTCTGCTTTGTGCAGCGCTGTGCCAGGCATCCTCCAGAAAGGATGCAAATCACAGCACAGAAAACATATTACGAGTGGCATGCAAGATCTGTGCCCACTTTGCCCATTGTGTCAAGAAAACAGAAATGCTTGTCAAAATACCAGCTCGAGTAGGAGCTTGCGGCTTCTGGAGGAATAAAAGAACCATGTTGGCAAGCACAGGACTAGACAGGCAGATGTCCTCCTCTCCACCCACTAGAATTTTATTGGCAATTGAGTTAACAACCTCTTTGCATATGAAAGTAACGGAGAGGCGCTGCTGCGGCCTTGCTGGCAGGAGACTTGGCTGCAAAACCAGTGAGACATTTGACAAGGAAGCAATATGTTAGCAACATCTCTTCATCCGTGTTATCAGGGCCAAATTGCCACGGCACTTGCAGCCATGTGGAGGCATTAGATGCAAAGTGTTAGACGCCCTGCCATTCTTCCTCGTCATTTTCCCCTTTCTCTTAGTTCTTTTTCAGTACAGCCTGGTCCTGACACTTCTCTTCAAGTGGCTCCAGAGCCAATCCTTCCTTGTGCTGCTGTGCATCTTTAGAAAATAGGCTGCCAGGTGCTGAACACCCACATTTTGAAGTGATTGTTCATGGTAATAAAGAGTTCTGTTTTGTTGTTGTTGTTGTGCAGACTGGCAGAGCCTTTCCAAGCATTGAATTTTCACAGCAGAATTTGTACCCCATTTCAGTTGTGCCCATGCTCTTTAGATTTGCAAACTCCCTGAGTATCTGCAGTGGAAAAACAGGTACCCCTTAGTGGACTCAGAATAACCTTGCAGTGCTGAGCTATGGGTCTCTGGTAACAGTGGTATCTCCAAATATGCCTGCGGACCCCCACTAGAAAGGTGCTGTAGGGCAGTACAGAGCAGCCTGGATGAGCAGGGGAGCATTACAAAGTCGGCAGTCTCTGGGTTACTTTGGAAGACCCTGTGTGGATGAGGTGTGCAGCTGAAGTGCTGCTCCTGTGTCTACAGGGGAGAGAGGGAAGGATGGAGAATTTTCTAGGAAACCTGCCCAATCTCTCACCCAGCCATCGAGCCCTCCCTAAAAACCAATCCCAATAATGCAGCAAGACTTTGTAACAGAAATACTTTCTCACCTGTTCCTTCCAACTCGTAAGGGCTCGTTGGGTTTAATAAGCCATTGCAAATTGCTGGAATCACATTCTGCTGTATGTACAGCTTGGAGGTGAATAATTTGTTGGTTAAGCATCAGGGGATTATGGAAAATTCCTGTATGGAGCCAAAGAATGGAATTGTGTCAGAAAAGCTGGAGGCATCCTGCTTCCCCTGCAAAGGTGCTCCTGAACTTGGCTTCCCATGCCCACCCCTAAGCTCAGGTGTGCCCATCACCACCTGCACTGTCCCATGACTAGCCACAGGACCAGGCAGTTGGTGTCCCTGCAGACCTTTGCATGGCACGCTGTCCATGGGGACACCATCAGCTCTCCCTGGGCTGGCACTAAGCATGGTTGTATTTTCCTTTTTCTGCTCCCTTATCACTTCCTCCCAAGCACTCCTCTTCAAGAAGCAGGAGAGGTATCTTCAGTTCTGCTGTTGCTTCTCCAATAAAGCATGCAAGCCCCGTGTGCCTGGATTTCAGGACGAGGGCTGCTTTCTTCTTGCTGTTGTGTCTTGGGCTCTGCATCCATGTGGCTCCTCTCTCCTTCTCCTTGTGCTGCCTTTCACTTCTTCCCTCATCTCTATGCTCTGCTGAATTCTTTTGTGGGGTTTCCAGAACCCTTTCTCACTTGTGACACCATTCTGGTCATCAGCTGGGTATGACATAGACCCACTGCCCCTTCAGCCTGATGGTCAGTGCACAACTCACCCAGGTCACAACACATTTAAGCACCTCAGCTCACTGTCTTCACTGTTGGGATGGCCAATAAAGTCATCTTAACGTCTAGGCAAGTGTTCAGCTACCAGGCATGCTAGGTTTCTCACAACCTGCATGATCTTCCAGCTATTTATATCTTGAGCCTGAGGCCTGACTCTCCTAACCTTGTGCTTTAAAGCCTCTTTCTCCCCCGGGGCCAGCAGCACGTTGGCATGCCATGGCAGGCCGGGCTCTTGGTGTGTAAGCTGAAGATGTACACTTGTTCTCAGGTGGCTGCAGGTTGCTCTCCTTGCAGGTTTTCCCAGCTTGCCTGCCAGCCCCAGGTGGGAGAGGACATCTTCCCTGCCTCCCTCCTGCTCCCCTGCCCTTCTCTGGCTTGTTGAGTTGTTGCTGCAGCCCTGAGTGACTTCTAGTTCACAACATTCATTTTACAAGGAGAAAGCAAGCTTCTCTCATTGCCTCAGGTGTCTCAGGTGAGTTTAAGCATCACCTTTGCTGGGGACAGGTTGGCTGACGGAGGGGTCATCTCTCCCTGAAGTCCCACAGAATTATTTGTACTATAATCACAAAGAAATTGAATCCAGAAGTCCTGCTGAAAATCCCACCCAGCAATTTCTTTCTGCTTCTCCCCGTTCCTCTGGATAATGGTCATCTCTCCTGAGGAGAAGGATGGACTGGTCACTCGTGGCCCTTGCATTCCCAGACAGACATCACAGTCTGTGCGGTGGATGAAGGTTCAGTGCTTCAATGGGTGACACACAGGCTTCCCCAAGAGCCTGGCCAGTGGTGCCAGGTGAGCTTTTCCTTCCTGCCCCCATGGATGCTTTAATCAGTGCTAATTGGAGCAAATTTCTCACATTCTGTGTACACAATCCGTGGGGTATGCCTGCTGAATGCTATACCCAGAGCTGCTGCCCCTTGAGCTGCTGGTGAGGCTATCCCAATGTATGGCCAGGTACATCTACCACTGAAAACACACACTGTGCGTGTTTTTCCAGGGTAAAAAATGCTACCACAGTTTCATGTTTCTCTTCACATTTTCCTGTTCTGTGCAGTACTCAACAGAACTGTTGCTGTTGTGTTTCTCTTACGCTGTCAGGGACATTTGCAGTGTGGGATCCAGGAGCAGAGGACCTGACACATGCAGTGCAATTCTCCTTCTTTTTCAACTATATAAAAGGCAGTCATGGCCTGAAATACTGTGTCATCCCTCAGCGAGTGGAAGCTGAGTTGCTCACCTGCAGGTTACTCCTCTCTCAAAACTAAGGCAGGAAAGGGGCCATCAGAGAGGTTCCTCCCGCTCTGCATGCTAACATTTTTCTGCCTGAGGCTGGAAAGGAAATTACCATTTACTTGAAACCTCCAGACAAATGTAGAGCAACTGGGCCAGGTTCACTTGCACTAGTTGGGGCTTTCCCTGTTCTCTGTGGCAAACATATAGCTGGCTCCTACAGCTGTGACCTGGCTCAGGGTATGTTTAAGGAAGCACCACAGAAGCAGGGGGCACTGAATGGTTGAGGAATATCATGTCAGCAGAGACTACAGCAGTGACAAAATCACTTCTGGCTGCGTTGGGGGATTTTGTGCTGGAGACTAATGAGGGAGAACATTCACTCCTCTTATGATCCCCTGTAGATGAGATCCTTGGAGAGGACCATGTAATTCTCTGCTTTCTACCAACAGCTTTCAGTTAGTGAAACATCTGTTGGTGTCTGGCAACGCTTCCTCCTGGTGCAGGTCTATGCTAGAAGCTGAAGTTGTTTCCCAAATATTCATCTCCCATTACATTTTTCAAAGCAGAAATGTATGGATAACCCTGAACACGTGAATCAACAGCAGCAGACACACTGGTAACTGCCAGCTTCAGCAGAGCACCTGAAACATTGGCACCGGGATCTGTGAACTTCTCCTGCAACGTGAAGATGAAGAGGAGGTCCTTCTTTGCCCAGGCACAACCTGTCCATAGGCAGGATATACTGCGGGACCTGTGCAGGACGTGCTGGTGAGGACCTCACCCTGATATTTGTAATGGTATCAACGGGACTACACTGAGCTTCATCTCCAGAGGACCTGGACCACAGCATTGTGTCAGATGTCCACAAGTGTTCAATGCTTAAGAGGCATTTTTAAGCCAGACTTGGGCTCCAAAATTACTCCAGTGGTTTTTAAAATGGTATCAGCCCTGCATCCCCATGGTTTGGAGAGGTTGTTTTCCCAGCAGGGCACCCTATCTCCCCATCAAAGTCCTTAAATGCTGGGAAGGAAATCAGCAATGCTGAAAGGTCTCTTGGAGAAAGTCAGCTCTAGGATATGGAGCAGTTGTCTCTGATCTCTCCAGCTATTACCTCAGTCCTCTTCCACGCTGCTTTTTATATCATAGACCACATCACGAAACACATGAAACCCAAAAGCATATGGAATTTTGCTGCTGACTTCCCATGGCCAGTCAAAGCCCAAACAAGCATGGGCAGCTTATTTTCCACTTCCCAGTCCCCAGGCCCCATCCATCACAGAGCTGTGCACCTCCTAATGGCCTGCGTTTCTGGAGGAAAGCAGCTGTTAGAGCACTCAGCGTTGCTGTGTTCAATCATAACATCAGAAAAGTGCATAAAATAATGAAAGCAAACTTGCCATTGTCTGAAAAAGAAAGGCTCCTATCATGGAAAGCCACGCTTTCCACAGACATTACTGTATTCCTTTTTCCGCTTGACAATTTATTCAAGTATCAAAGGCTCAAGTCTCCTGATAATTTTGTCTGGTCAGAGAACAAGCATCTGCTCTCTCTGATTGCAGGTCACTTCTCTCATGCAAAACTCGATTGAGACATGCACGTCAAGGTCAGAAATGAGTCTGAGCTCATACATTGTTAGCCTAAAAAAAAACAAGAAGTAGAAAAAGAGATAATAACAAGCCTTTAAAATGGACTTTGGTAATGCGCTTTTGCTGCGAGTATGGTGTAAAGAGGAGTTAATTGCAGCATTCTAATGTATTAATTGCTTGTTAGTTGTTAAGTTTAAGCCTTTTGCTGGAAAAGGATGATGAAATTTGGATGGAAATCAGCCTATATTGGACAGTGGGAAGACTGGAAGTTTAGAAAGAGGAAGGTGAAAATGATGTGATTGGAGCATAAAAAGAGAGCATTCCAGCCAAAATAAAGTGTGCAACTATCAGTGAAACCCTGGGCTGACCACTGGTTAAGAAGAGCTTTGCATAAACATCAGCTACCTTCAGAGTTCTTGGAGATGAAAAGTATGTGAAAAGTCTTGGCCTCTGGGGGTGTAAAAAACAGAAGTAATGCTAGTTTACTCATCTGCTGTTTGCAAGGCTCTGAAAAGAAACTTGTGCAGCTCATGAAGGATCATCACCTGCCTTGCAAAACATCCAGGTCTGATGTGCTTGCTAGGTGGAGTGTTTTCTCTCCTTCTTTCAGTCTTTTACCCCTGCAAGCTCTTCCACAGTCTTTTCCAATTACGAGCTTCCCCCTGAAAAAGCACACACCAGGCCTTCCACGTCAAAGCGGCAATAAAGCCCTTGGGGAAACAATTTCCTGTGTGACATTCACAAAGTGAAATTCGGCCTGGAAGGAAGCGCTGTTAGGGTGAGTTCCTGCACGGCCCCAAACACAACGAGCCGTTCAAACTGTTTGATGCAGTGGACAGGCCCGTCACAACCATCTTTGGGGAGGCATTTTTTGAGATACTTATTTTTTTAAAAAACACTTTTCCTTTTTCTCCCACAAAATGCTGTCTCTGATGGACTCCAGAAGAGCGTGGGCTGAACTCCATCCTCTTTCATCTGGATCCTGGAGGCGTTCTCACCCCCGCTCCCTCCACCTCCACACCCGATGTCCTCGCCAAGTGCATTGGGAAGAAGTTCTGATCTGGAGCACAACAGCACACACCCTGAACCTAGCTAGCTGGAGATACTACCGATGAGCTGCCTAAGTGCTTCTCTTTTGTTCCAGCCCAAGATTTGAGGCTCATTCCCCCTGTCCTAGCCAAGCAGAGATTCAGAGGCAGAAGTTCATACTGGTCTGACGATGATGATGATGAGCTACTCCAGGGGGCCATGGGGTTTATCCCCATGCACCCCCTGAATCCTGAGTGTTTGTAGCAGCAGAGCTAGCCACAGTCGGCCTGTCTGAGAGATCCAGCAGAAATAATGTGCCCTGTGGGAATAGGTTGCCTCACCCAGGGCCTGATGGCACGTGTTCTGCCGTTAGCCCAGCGCCGGGTCCAGCTGCAAGCCGAGACCTGCCGTGGTTAACGTGCTGCTAGGAGGCTCGTCTTGCACCTGTGGGAGCCCATCGGCATTAGATTACCCTCTGTGATCTTCAGCGGTGTGAAAATAAAATCTCCTGCAACTCGTGTGCTCTGTACAGTCCAGATAATGGCACAAGGGTGGAACAGAGAAAGTAGGGACGGGCATTTAAAGCACACAAAGTCCTGAGTCTCTCCTGAGCCACAGCTACCTAGCTCATCCCTGAAACAACCACCAAAAGAAACTCGTGGTGTTGATCTGTGAGTTGCAGCAGCTGATACGCCTGCCTGCTAGGGGTAATCTACTGGGCATCAGCAGAGCACAGAACTTCTGAACGTCTTGGACCACCTCCATAGTATTGTCCATGAGGACTGCAGTGCCGTATGCAGCTTCTGGTGAAATCAGGCAATAGAAAACAAGGGAATGTAAAATGTGTGTTCCTTGGAGAGACCTGCACTTTGTCAGCTGATGATCAAGCTTTGCTATCTCTTCTCTTAAATAAATACTCTGTCCCTGGAGGGGGCTGAGACTAAAGGATCTAAAACATCTAAGCTGTGAAGCAAATGATGTCTTGGATACAGTCAAGTTTTCCATATGAAAAAATTAGTCCTAGCCAGAAGTACATTTGCTTGCATTTCAAACACACATCTCTCCCTGGCCAGCAGTGAATTCTGAGCCAGGTGACAGTCTGGGCACACAGGGGCTGCACACACCATGGGCAGCTGTCAGCAGGCACCACCACTGCTGCTGGTGGGATGCTGCAGAGGTGAGAAAGGAGAAAAATCCTCGTCAAGTTGTGTCGTTTCTGCTTTGGGACAGCGTCCCAGCCAGAGAGGTGGGTAACACACTCAATGCAGTCAGGCAGCCAGGGAGGATGAATTATTAAACACATGGCTGGGGAGACCTCAGCCACCGTTGATGCCATGCATTTTTAATTGCAGAAAAGTATGTCGCTGTGCAGTGGGATGGCACGTGCTGCTCTGCGTCTCCAGCACACTGCAGCCATGAGGGTCATCCATCCTGGGAAGAGGAGGGGACCCTGGAGCATTGCCAGGCTGCAGAGATGCTGCTGCTGCTGCGTGTCCCAGGGGTCGTATCTTCTGCCTCTTTGATCTCCCTCTGACCTTTGCTGTTACAGCTGGGAAAACTGATCCTATTGATTTTATGTGGATTATGATTTTCTGCAGATTGCCCAGAAACCTGCTAATTGTGCACATGGCTATTTATAGTGTCCTGGAGTGGGAGGCGGACTTTTTTGATGGTGAGGTTATCTGCACACATGTCCATGGAGTTGAAGGGCGTCAGTTTCGATATAAATGTGAGCTGCTTGTGACACTTCCATATTTTCTCTTCAGTGACTGTGGGAGACATTTCAAAATGGACATTTTCTGAAATTTTCCATCTTCTTTCAGCAGAAAGAACCTCTTTTTCCTCTGATCTGATTTTTTTTTTAACTTGGAAGAAGTTGTGTGTGGGGAACTGAACAGTGACAGCTCCTTGGGGTCAGATCTGAGCCGAGCCAGGTCTGATCTCTCCCCTCACCATGAGCAATGAGAGAAAGATGTTAAGGAGGTTTAGTCCTGTTCCGTCACACAGCTGTGTGACTGCATTTTACTTTGTTTATTCATTCATTTAGCTATTACAGCACAAATTCTACTCCTTCATTCTCTGGCCCTGGATGCTTCTGAGGTATTTATTCACTTCTTGGTTCCTTTACTGACTTTTCTCCTGATTAAATTAAAAGGGAGCATCACTTGACTGATTTAGTCTAGCCTTGAACTCTGCAGTGGCAATAAATATTGTTTCAGCAGCATCCATCCATTGTCCTGAGCCCAGACTGCTGCTCCAGTTGTAGTGCCTTGCAAAATAAGATACTGCCTCATCACGGATGCAGCCCACTGACTTCTCAGTGAAAAGAGAGAAATAGTTTTTCCATGCATTGGGTTAAGTGTTTGCTTGCAACTGCCTGGAGCAGCCATTCAGAATATTTTAAGAGTGCCTTTCATGCTGTCTGAAATACCTGGCAGTGCACAAAGGCCTAAAGTGGGAGCAATTGACTGCAGGATTATTCTAGTGCCTCCTGAAAGAAAAGTAAAACGACAGCGAGTGTGACAAGGGACTCATATCCACACCGTAATGTTCATTGAGACTTTTGGTGTAAGTAGCCCCCCTCATCCGGGTGGTGCAAGACAGCAAACCCCTGACTTGGAAATCATGCGCTCAAAGAAGATAATCAAAGTCTTTGGAGACAGGAAGCTTTGGAGATTTGTAGGGGCATGGCATTTGTCCTCAGGCAGTGACTCTTGGAGATGGATCTTGACAGGGAAAACCTGCAGGAATATCAGAGCAGTTCCCATGAACTTCAAAGGCTGGTGGTACTGGTCCTGCCTGTGCCGCTCTGATGGCTGCAGCAGTTGTAGGCTGAATGAACTTCATAACGTGACACCCTCTGAATGGTTTATAGCCAGCTGGGATCTTTCTGATTCCTGGAGGATGGCTCCTGGAGCCCCAGCGGTGTGTAAGATTTTGTCTGTATCTTCAGGGTGTTCAGACCAGCTTCTGAAATATTCAGAAGCTATTTTACAAGACTGTTTTTTTTTTTTTTTTTTTTTTTTTTTTTTTTTTTTTTCCCTCAGTCAGATGCTTGCCTCTTGCCCCTAAATCATCTCTGAGAATTGTGTTAAATTAGCCAAGGCTCATAAAGGATTACAAAATCTTGCTGAAAGCCAGAACTGCTTGTAAAATGGAGAAGGTGTGTGAAAAGAAAAAAGGTGGGTGCGGTGAGAAAATAAAAAGAGGAATGTCTCAGCTCAGGAGGAGAAAAACCTTCTTGTCTGCAGAGGTGTATGCTTAACAAGGAAAGAGAGGCATTCATTTATAATGGTGGATAAAAGGAGAAGAAGAGACATCTGATGACACTCAGAGAAGGTAAATCACAAGCTAATCAGCTAAAGGTTTTCTTCACCCAATATGCCATTAGCTTGAGCAACCCAAAGCCAGGTATTATCACTGAGACTACAAGTAATGCGGAAGCCCAAAATGGGCTTTGCAGTTTCTGGCAATGGGGAATCCCCATGTTTTGAAGCAAATATACATTGAATACGTGAGTTTTTGAAAGGGATTTGACTTGTGATTTAACCTCTGGGCTGGTGCCTAACGTCTGACTCAGGTAGGGCTTCCCTTGGTACATCTCTAGAGGTGATGGTGCTGCTCAGAGTGACTTCGAGAGCACTCTCACTCAGGTGGAGCACAGCGCTTATTTAGATTGGCAATGCCTTTGCTTCTCCTGGCCAGGTCACGAACGGCTGGTCATGCATGCAATCAAGCAGGATGACATGCTGCAGGATTACAGGTGGTGCGGTGGCTCTTCATGTGCTGTCTTGCATGCATACTTTGACTGTTTGACTCACAAGGACTATGCATCGCTAAAGAGAGTGTTTTTACAGCGAAAGATGAGTGTAGGAGAATGGTATATGAGAACTGTAAAGCTACATTTGCCAAGCTGGTGTAGAAAACATCAATTCCCTGGACCTCTATGGGGCTCTGCCATTTTACAGCTACCCTGCTACACTTATTAGATTGGTGTCTTTTGAGCAGCATGCCACCTGGGCTGTAATTAGATGAACATCTCTTCCTCAGCCTTTTTAAGATGGGTTTTCCAACAGGAAGCAGGGGATAGGTTACAATTGGAGGTACTTTTGGTTTCTGTCTTACTAAGGGCATTGCTTCCAGTTGACTCGGTAAAGCAGGGTTCTGTGCTTGGAGGTAGGAAAGGGAGCTTCAAAGGCAACCCAGGCCCATACAGGTGCTCAGAGAATAGCCTTAGGCGCTGCTCCTTGCACTCTGGCTAAATCTACCCTGATTTTGATGCCTTCCTATGTCTGAGCAGACACACCTGGCCGCTTTGTGAGCCCTGTCAGTGTTTTATTGCCCCCTGGGAGGCTGAGATCTGCTTGATCTGTTGGTGGAGGTGTCAGATCCAGAGTGGTGAGGGGGCCCTGGGTGAGAAGCATTTCCACGACCCTGCACGCAGCCCAGGAGATGTGGCAGACTGGGGCATCCCCAGCTGCTGCCGACCTGCCAGGCTGGTCTGAGAAGTCTCATCAGATCCAAGGCCCCAGGGGAATAATACCCACTGGCACTAACGCAATTAGGACAATTAAATAATATAATGTTCGTAATAATGATGGGCAGTATGGAAGCAGGCCTGCAAACCACCTATGGAGATGCTTCCATTGGAGAATAACTCCTCGAGACCAAACTTCTCTATGAGGCACTGTTTTGCCTGGCTGTTGAAAGTATATTTGTCATGTAGCACTCCTTTTATCTTAAGATCCTTCTCCTCTTTTTTTGGGATAATGTTTTTATTATGTGTTTTAAAGAGGAGAAAAAAAAAAGTATAAATAAACCAGCTGTAATTTCTGTAGCTTGGAAGGAGCTCTTACTTGACCCCGTAGTTTAATAAAAATGCTTTCACTGATTTTTATTTTTATTTTTTTATAAAGGTAGGACCTGAGCAGTGCTGCTGATCGGAATGTATATAGCAGCTTTCAGATTTCCTTTGAGCTTCAAGCTCTCCTGAAAGCTGGTCATGAATTATTAAGGCAGGCGATTACCTTAACTGGAATGTATATGGCTGTTTCATCAGTGAAGTTGGGGAGCACTCTGAGGTGCGGACAGCTTTCCCGTGGAGGTTTAGCAACCCAAAATGGTGAAGCTCTCCTCACTTTCCCTGCCTCTTACGGGAATTCTGCAATACCTTATAGAAACTTCTGGCTGGACACAAAATCTTCAGGTTGGATGTTTTCACTTTTGTGTTTTAAAAACTTCCTCCCAGGAGCTCTGCTTGGCCCTGCATTATTTATTTATTTTTTTGGCTGGATACACATTTATTTCACCTTTATTTTTTATTAAAATCTATTATGGTGTTTCGTAGTTCTATTAAAGCCCAGCAGGGTCTCCCTCTGCTTGGTGCGGAGCCCTCCTGGCTGCAGCACTGGGCTCTGGGGGTAAGACTTCAGCACAGCTTTTCCTTGCCCTCCTTGGGTAAGAAGTTGCTTGTTGGAGCAGGGCTGTGACCCTTCTCACCTCCCTGATAGATAATTTCACCTGGTACCACTGGAATTAAAGGATTTGAGAGGGAACAGGGAGGATGTACCATCCCCATAGCTTTCCTGAGGAGCAGATGTGCAAAGTGGGGATTTAGAGCTGTGAACCTCTCAGGGCTGAGCCCAGAACCCACCTCAGTCCCCCCTAAAGACACCAACCCCCCCCTTCTGGTGGGGCAGGCATCTCTCCAGCTCTTCCAGCGAGCAAACCCAGCTGCCCAAACCTCTCGCTGGCCTGGGACAGGGGAGCATCACTCTGTCCCCAGGATCTGGACAAGCTTTGAGTACTGCTGTGGAAATAAGACACGGAAATCATGCTGGCAGCAGCGAGGCTCCTGCGTGCTCCTCTTTAAGCACCCGTGTGCCTCCGCTCCAAGCTCCCCAGATCACCTTCTGAATTCATAACCGAGAGAAACATCCGACTCTGCATTAAGTCAAAGCGGTCCCTTGGGTCTCATAGGTGGTGATAGGAACATCTCAGTTCCTGAGTTTATATTCTCATAAATCTTGAAGAAGGTGATTTTTCCTTTCCTTTTTTTTTTCCCTCTCTCTCCCAGCTTTAATTACCAGCTGCAGGCACCGCAGTGATGAACAGCACTG